GGGGTCATTTAGACGCTTCTTGTGAGACTTGTGTTTTGTTTTGGTAAAAATAGTTCCTATCGTCAGTTAGCTGAGTTTCTTCCCGTTAAGCTGGTATGACACATTAATAGGTTTTTAAATATTAAAAAGCCCTGAGACACAGTTTCGTGAGAAAAAAAAACGCAGCCCCCTCCACCGGAGGCTCTCGGGCTAAACAGGTTAAGAAACAGTGCAGCGGAAATACATTATACATTGCGTTTTATTACTTTATTAACAAAAGGTCAAACGTTTTTCGATAATATTTATGTTTTTTAGGTATCACTACACTGTTAACTAGAGGGTCTACCATTGAAAAAAAGAGAAAGTTGAAATGTTCCTGTGAAGGAACCTTTGAGTCCACCAGTGAGTTCATCTGTTAGTCAGTGCTTTCATCCACTATGCTGAAGCCAGACTAAGGGATGCACTCTTTGTATTCAAATGCAGCACTGGAGTTTCATTTGCTGAGTTTTGCAGAGGTCACCCTATGACAGGGGATCAGTGTATGGCAGACAGGGGGCAGATTGATTTGACCTCAGTTTTTCTCTCCCTCTCCACTGCCAGATGTTTATCCCATTTAGCGTGACGGATTTAGGTATGTGTGCTGTTCTGTCCATACGTGGCTCCACAAAGCAATGGCCATGACTGAGGCAGACTGAAGTTGATAGATTGTAGCCAACTATCTGTCACAGGCCAGAGGAAGGGAGAAAAAGACAGGTCTGAGGAGACAGAGGGATGCATTTTGATGGTGCCCCTGTGAAACAAACAACTAGACGAGGAATGAGTGGGATTGGCCGTCACATGGAGCTGACATATAGTGATGAGCTGTCAGGCTAGTTTTGTTTTTTCTCATTAACAAGTCCACCTCCTAAATGTCGCTTTGTGTAGCCAGAAAACTACTTTTTGAGCCTCTCCAGTCGACTGCCCCACGATAACATGTTCAGGGATACAAAAAAACAATTTACCATGTGTCAAATGTTGTTGTTGTCAAGGCACCTCTTATGAAGGAGGTGGTGAAAGGTTGGTGCATAAATTGAAAAATGTATCACACCGGAGAGGGCTAAGGCCACACGGTTAATAGGAAACTTTCTTAAACGCTGCGAATAAACAAGGACATGAATGAGAACCCCATTAACCTCTTCTGTGATTAGAGACCTATAACTATGGCCATCAAGAAGAGAAATAATTAATCAGTAAATTGTTATAGAGGCTGTGCATGATTTTGATTGATGTTGGATTTGCATGATTTTGTGTGTTATCCACAGTTTTTTGGACTGGTGGCACCTTTTGAGAGATGGATTGGGTGCTTGCTGTCAGAACATTGTCTGCGACAGAAAACCCTATGGCAGCTGACAGAGCAGAGTGACTGAGGAGGGGGAGGCACCAATCTATTATCCATCATTCTGGGTTTGTGTCACCCACACCACATGCCCCTCTTTAAGTTTGAAACCATGCACACACACACACACGCAGACGTACACCTGAAAAATAGTCAATACAAGTAGGAACATGGCCTGAACTCACAGTCAATCTCTGTCTCTCTCATACACACTCGCGCTCACACTTGACGAGCTCTAATGATGCTCTTACTCATTCAATGCTGAGCAGAATCTCCTCATTCTGTTGTGATTAATGTTGAAGTAAAGAGCTTGAATCTTGAATAGAAATGAACGCGAGCTAACGACTTATTAATCAAACTGCAAATACTTAAAGCAAATAATGCTTCCGCTTCATCTCGGCAAGGAGACACGGAGCGTAATCCCTCTTTTTCTTTCTCTCTTGCTTCCCCACACAAAAGCGTAAACATTTATTAAATCTATTTTTTCTTTTTTCATGTCAGCCTGCGTGGGTTTGTGTGCCTGTTTCTGTCTTTTCTGTGTGCCACTCTGTGTCAGAGAAGTGCAATGAATGTCTCTGAAGTGTCTGTGTGCTGATAGCAGGGGACAGGTACCATCAGTCTTGGCATCATTGGCAGATTAATGAGAGAGCTGTATTTAGCTGCCCTGTCTCCCTGTCTGACCTACTGTCAGAGAGTTGTTCTACTCTTGTTTCTTATGTGAGTTTTTATTGCAAGCGCAACACTAACCTTCAAACTTTTCATAGATGTCTGATTGAATGCAGCTGGCTAGTAGGAAGCGAGACATAGTCAAAGCTATATCTAAATATTTAGCTCACTGAGGATAATTGTCTTTGGAGTTTGCTGTTTAAACATAGTAAAACAAACTTTACCAACCTCGCGCATCCCCTACAACAAACCTATTTTCCATTGCCCCTCTTGAGCTGTGACCCAGAAAGTACGACATGGCTGGGACACACTAGATAGTCCTGACCCTCTATTTGGGGAACGCTGGTCCAGAGCACATCTGTATTCAGCCCTGGCTCTGCACTCATATTGTCAATGGCCAGCTCCCAGACTCCTGAAGATGGATGGAGCTAAAGCCCAGCCTAATAACCAGTCCAGCCCCCCAGGGTGGGTGTAGCACTGCACTCCTCTGTCACCTGGGTCCCTGCACTGTCTCTATATTGACTTAGGCATTTCATTTTCATGCATTTATATTCATCACCAGACAAACCTTTCCAGCTGCTCTGGTCTCTGGGTAACATCTCTCACACCTTTCCTGTATGTCTGTTTTTGCATTTCTCATTCCGGACCATTATAATATTTTAGCTGTTTTGCTGTGTAAATCTTCTTTCCCCAAATATATTTCATTTCCACTGCTGTATCTAAATAATTATTGTGTGTCAGAGTTAACCTTACTGTTTCCATAAAAAAAAACACTTGCCTTTTCATCCTAAAAGGTCTGCTTCTGTCCATGAGATATTCTCTGTTCTCTGTGCTGTTTTGTATGATTGCCCTGACTCTGAAAAACAGTACAATCGTTTTTTTTTCCAGTAACGGGAATCAGGAAACAGAACACAGAGAGGAGGAATGTAAAGGTCATGGCACATTGGTCATGCCGGGGTAGATAGCGGTAGGATGTTTACAGGTCAAAAGCGCAATAACTTAAGGGTCAGCTCACATAATGCAGAGAATGGAAAAACATTTAATCACACTAAAGTCTGAGAATATCCCGACTTGATAGGTTGCCTTTTGAATCTGGCCTTGAACAGAGAAATGGAGGAATGAAGAATAATAGAACTGGGATGCTGCACATGCAGGCTTAACCACACAGAATAAATCAGGCCACAGGATGAGAGGCTCTCTACAATGTTTTTGGGCTCAGTATTGGTATTGGGCTGAGGCTCTTGAGCTGAAGTAGGCAAGTGCTTGTGTGGTTCTGTGTTGATCATTATCTGAGTGCTGTATGAGTGAGCAACTGCACGCACATTTGTGTTATTGTATTCATGCGTTTGTCTGTGTGTGCATTGTAAGGGAGGATGTGCTACAGCAGCAGCACCATTGTTCCCTACTCCCCTCATACTCTTCCTTCCTTCCTTCCCCCCTGGGTGTGGACAGCAAACAGGGACAGATTATTTTCCGCTGCTCCTGTATTTGGAGATGACCTGTGAGGCCATAGGTGATGCTGACGCGGCCCGTGGTTATCACGGGCCGCGTAGCAGCCAGCACTGGGGGCCATGCTGTGCTGTGCCATGTCACACTAAAGTGCCACTCCTCACCACACCATTAAAAATGACAAATGCTCTCATCAACTGATTTCCCAAGATAGCAACCGTTGCCTTATGCTCCTGAAGCCCTGCGTATGCCCCAGTTCATCTGCTGGCCTTTGCCACAGTTGGAACAATTTTAACTGTGAGTCACTTTTCATTTACAATGTGTTTGGTGTTTTTGCTATTGTTAAGGTTGGGAGTTGAATTGCCAAAGGGGCACAAAAGATGGATGCAGTGAAAACAGTCCAGGCTTGTTTAGGAAAAACAGCTGCCGAGTGTTTGTCCTTTAATGTTTTCTAACAGTGTAAAAAAGGATATACGCTTTAATTTTATACACTACATATTATATGAAAACCCATACATTTTTCCCCCATTCATTAAGTCCTTAAAAGTAAAGCAGGTAAACAGTATTTGGGCCAGTATACTGAGAAGGGACAGAACTGAAGTATTAGGCCATCCAGTGGCCCCGGGCATAACAGGCCCACTCAGGTTGTAGATTAACAACACCACCCCAATTATTTAGCTCCAGGGACCTTTGGGGACATATCTAGCCCAAGACAGGTGTATGGTTCTGGGCCACAGGGCGGAAACTGCCCCCTTCTGCTGAGGAAGACCTCGGTCCTCTGTGTCCCTGTGGGAAAAAGCCCATTGTGTGTACCATCTGTTGCAGCCCACGCGCACACAAAAGGGGTGACAGAGGTATGGGGAGGGAGCTGATGTGCCATGCCTGTTTAATACCATTAGAAGATGCAGTTGATTTGCTAAAACTTTCAAGGAATATTCTCATTGCAAATGAGACTAGCATTTGTGTGAACATAATGGGGGGGCGAATGAACCAGAGTGGCTACTTCAGACATTGGGGAGGCGGCCAAAACATGTTAACTTACTAATAAAAAATGGGGTAAAATACCAAGCTCCAGTGACTTTAGGGAGACTTTATTTTGCAAAATATCCTTGTGGTTTTATTTGATAAAAACATAATTGTCCGAACTCAGGATATCATTCATGTATAAACACACTTTTATGGGAAGTGAGTACGTAATTTGGGACCCTTACCAATTGTTCAAACTGAATGATTTTTTATCCAGAGGTGACAGACCACTGAACTAGTGTACAGCCGTTTATGGTCTCCTGTGGGGGCAGGCTTGGCTCGGTATGTGCCTGAGATGCAGTAGTTGCAGTTAACCACGTGGGGGCGATATTTCCCTTCAGTGAAGCGGACGCCGTTTCATATAGGTCAAGGAAAAGTTTTGTGTTTTCACAATGCGAGGGGGCGGAGCGGCGGTCTCTTGATTGGTTAGTGAGTTCAGCTCCCAATCGGTGATTGGCTCCCGCGCTCTAATGGGGCTTTGAGCATGCAATGTTGGGTGTCCCCCACCTCCTCTTCCTCCCCCTGCTCCTCGCACCCCTCAGCCCCTACACTCCGTCCTTCCCCGTCGCTGGTTGTCACACATTGTTTACTACGGCTTGAAATGTGACTCACAACACAGGCTATCTGCTGGAGTACCGCTCTGACAACTGAGGGATTCTTTTGACGCGCACCGTGCGTCTTGGTAATTTGGGGAAAGGCTGTGGAGACTACCCTTCTGCCATGACAGTGGATTTGTTTGCGCTTTTATGCGTGCTGGTCATCACATCCTCTGCGATGGAAGGTAAATAAGAAATTGGGATTAAACTTGTTGTAGATCTGAAATGCTTCTTCCCAAGACGCGCTGTGTTGAGGATGCTCGCAGCGGTTTCTGGTGGGCAGCGCTGCGCCTCAGGCATAGGGATACAGGGATGTCATACACGTGGATCGCCGCAGATTGCCGTGGTTATCCCTTTATGTCGGAGCGGCAGGACGGCCGCTCCGCTGGTTTCCAGTGATGTTACTTGTCCATGTGAATAACTATACTTTAAATGTATTTAATCGCATACGTTAGTTTGTTAGTGGCAGTAAATGCGCTTACATCTGTTGTCCTCACTCTGTGCAATTCAGTTTAATAAGCTTTTTATGACATGAATGTTACGAGGAAAATATTTCCAAAGCGTTAAATAATAACGAAAAAAGAAGAACACACTTTAGTCTTACTCTCAAGTCTTTCTATATAGTAGGCTGAGTGCCCTCTATAAATTGTTATATTAGATTTTCATCATCCCATAACAATGAGTTTTGCTCAGTATGAAACGAGGCAATGTTAATGCCTGTCAAACCTCCAAGGATTCCTGTCACGTTTTTTCATTAGATTTAACACATCAAATACTGGTATTACAAGCCCTTGAGCACCATTCTGTGGCATTTTGAATTGCTGGGCAAACTCTTAGATTGTGGATTGCACTGATTGAAAGTCTCCCTTTAACCTGGATTGTATGCAAGCGTACATTTTCAATTTGAATTTTTGAAATCAACCGCTTTATTAAAAAAACATCAACAACAAATGCTCAGCTGCCTCTCCTATTTTCTCACTGTCCCTGTATCTTTTTTTCTTTATCCATCTCCATTTCTGCCTCTCTCTTTCTTTGTCTTTCTGCATCTCTTTCCTCTTTTCCTTTTTACGCACGTTCATCTGGACAAGCGGCAGTGTCACTAGTAGCTAATATCTCCTCAGTTAAACATGTTTTTCATTTCCGCTGTTGGACCCTGGGGACCGAACACTGGGTTTGTAGCCTCAAACACTGGCTGATGGATGGATATCCCGGCAGCATCATTCATATATATATATATATATATATATATATATATATATATATATATATATATATATATATATATATAGTTTCTTCTCTCATTTGATTTTACAGTAGCTCATCCTTTCCAATAGAACATACAGGAACACACCAGCTTCCCATGGCAGTCTCTGTCCCCTCCCAATAGCATAAATAAGTAAATTAGAAGCACACATAAAATGAGTTTTTTCACATGCAGCTTTTCTCTTTAATCATTTACAACTCTGCTCCTGCTGCTCCCAGCTCCGGCTGTGCTCTGTAATTCGGCGGTGGTTTTCTTTTTTGTGCTCATCAGATTTCAACACCACTATGGAAACTTAGGCAAGGCCCAAATTGCTACCTCTGTAAGGGATAAATATTTGAAAGTTAAAATGTTTATCCAGTGTGAAATGACAGCAGAAAGTCAAATCAGAGAGATATGTGAGGGACGAAAGGGAGTGGTATTTCCCTGCTAGGAAATGGGTGTGAGATTTGTCCTCCAAAATATGAGATCAGAAAGTAACAGATGGGCTGGGAGATGGCCCCGAAGTTACCTCGGTAACAAGGATAACAGTGATTTCCTTGTTTTGGTCGCTAATTGAAAATAGGTTGTCCCATGGGCAGGTTAAAATCTTCACTAATCTGAACTGCAATCTGTTGCTTTTTTATTTATTTATTTATTTCTGTGTGTGTGTGTGTGTGTGTGTGTGTGTGTGTGTGTGTGTGTGTGTGTGTGTGTGTGTGTGTGTGTGTGTGTGTGTGTGTGTGTGTGTGTGTGTGTGTGTGTGTGTGTGTGTGTGTGTGTGTGTGTGTGTGTGTGTGTGTGTGTGTGTGTGTGTGTGTGTGTGTGTGTGTGTGTGTGTGTGTGTGTGTGTGTGTGTGTGTGTGTGTGTGTGTGTGTGTGTGTGTGTGTGTGTGTGTGTGTGTGTGTGTGTGTGTGTGTGTGTGTGTGTGTGAAGGAGTAGAGCCATTGACCACATTATTCCTGCCTCTCCGGTCAATTTTAATCTGATTACTTGTCTAAATCAGCCAATAATGTCAGAGTGTGCATGTGTGTGTTTATAACTTTGGAGCAAGGAGCAGATATGGATTCATATTTGTGATGAACAGAAAAACAACCTGACTTTCTGACACTCACAGTAAACACCACACACACCATTGATGAAGGGATACATGGGTGAACAGTTTATTGTATAATTTGGATTATTTAAACTGAGCCACACAGTGCACACAAATGAAAAAAATCCCACACATGAAGGTATACAATCTGCAAACATAAATGCAGTCACTGACAAGTTATTGAAGGGACAGTCAAACCTAAAGCAAAGGGCTAACAGAGAGGAGAGGAAAGACAGGGATTTGCATGCCATTAGAATAAGAACCATGTACGATGCTCTGTTTCACCCTCATTTGTCTTCTCTCTCCATTTCTCCCATCATCCTCTCTCTGCCTACTTTCTTCTTCACCTCCCTTTCCCCCCTTGTTTCTCTATCCCACTCTGTCTTCCATAATTCTCCTCACTAATCTCCCCATTCCTCTCTTGTCTCCCTTTTCTCCTCTTTTGCTCGCTCCCTCTTTGGTGTGCGGATGGTTCCTGCCAACAGCAGCAGTAATTCTCCCCTACTTACAGAGCCATTGCTTATTTCTGTTTGCCCTTAAACCAATTAGACTCAGATAAGCCCGCTCATTTAGCGGCCTGGAACTGGGTGGTTGAGGTAAGAGGAATGGAGAAAGTGGGATGAAACAGCGGTTGAAAGATAGACATGGACCGGGAGAGATAAAGAAGATGAGAGAGACAGATGGAGGGAGGTCAGCTAGTTTTAGAAAAGATACCGTACACGTGTTTTACAAATGAGTAACCTGCAACTGAAAGATGCTGTGGAAGTAAACGAGCTCCACACTGTCTCAGTTATCCGACATTGATAAATGCACTGTATAATTGTGCCATTCTACACTGGGGTAAAACGGCAACAGCATTAAGTATACGTCTGATAAGAGAACATTAGTAGTCTGCTGTAACCAGTCCTTAAGGATGCTGTGTTAAGTACCTGTAATTCTTCATCCTCGGGGGCCAAGTGGATGAAATGGAGCATATTGTAGCTTCCTGAATACACAATAGCTTAAGCATTAGATAATAGTTATGGAGGTCAGAACCATACGCTGTTAATATACATCAATCAGGAGTGTTGGCGTGAGTGTTTCATATGGATTAGTAAGGTCAGAGGACAGAGTGTTGAAGTGCATGTTCCAACCCCCATCCGAGCAAGCGTTTGTCCTGCCGAAGTGCCCTTGAGCAAGGCATTGACTGAGGCGCCGTTTACACGAGGAGAAAACTGCTTGTATCTGCATAGTTTCGCGTGCGTATAGCCCTATTATTTACACGAGGCCGATAGAAACTGACCCCACAAACAATAACGGGTCCCAAGGTGGATAGATTTGCAAACGAAACGCTCTGGGGGGTCAACCGAGTCCGTGTAATCACCTCTATACGAATATTTCCTGAAAAAATAACGATAGCCCCGCCTCTCCCCACCTCTCCTGCTCACTGCTGTAGCAACTATTAAAAATAGCTGTGTTAATTAAACGCACAAGGGGTTCTTGAATGAAATAATATTATAAAAGGCAAACCAGAATTGTTAACGCCCAATATACTCCTTAAACAAAATAAACAGAGTCAGATTTCATGCATTGATCCATTATATTGACAAAGGTGCATCTCACCCGGTGTTTGTAGAGAATATCTCTCTTTCTGAGCCGTCCTCTCCACAGAGACGTGCTTCTTGGTTTCTTTCAGTTAACTTCCCCGTTGCATTTATCCATATGCTGAGGAAATTACTATATCCCGCTGAATACCAGCAATCGCCACACACACTGACTTCCTCCTGTCAGTAGCTACTGCTAGTGCTACTGCTACTGACCATGCTACAGATATTAGTGCAAAAATATACAGCTCCTCTACCACAACCATCAGCAACAAGTGGACATGGAGAATTACATGAACTACATGTTGCTAAATACACCGCGGGCCGGGGCATGAACAGAAGGGTAGCCATGGCAACATTGCGGCGGGGGCTGCTGGGCTGCTCTTCTTCGCTACTTTTGGTGTATTTTGGCGGAAGTTACAGCGCCACTTACAGTCCCGGCATATGTACTACAGCGTTTCCAGCGGCCTCGTTTGAACAGACGCGTTAAATGAAACGAATGCATGTGAACGGAAGACTTTTTTGAATACGCATACTGTGCATAAACGCAAACGGTCCCGTGTGAGCGGGGCCTTAGCTCCAGGGTCTCTGACATCTAACCGACCCACTGCTCTGACCCCAGCGTGGAGAGTTCAGAATCAGCCTCCCGGGATTCATAAATCACTTCACATTATAGTTATTATTTGTTCTAATCTGGCTAGCTGTAAGCTGGAATTGAGTTAAAACTAACTTGTTGTAGCCTTGCCGAGCTAACACAAATAATGCCAGTCCACCATCTTGATCCATATATTGTGGTTTGGCGAGCCTGAAGAGACATTTGCATGAGACAACTGTCAGTTCAAATAGGGTGCACAGTACATGACTCACAGTTCTCTGCTTCCCTTTAGATATTACCATGAAACCTTCATACACCTGATTGGACAAAGGGACCACTCACTAGGCTGTTATTGATGGCTGCTTTGCATTTCTAAACAAGAATTGTGACATTAACAAATGTCACATTTTATCTGAAATATCTACCAAAATCAGCAGTTGAAAAATCAAGCTTCATTTTATATATTTGACACCTTGTTAAACATAGTTTATTCTGAGGGGCAAGTCCCATCGTCATATAAACGCACTGAGTTCTCATGTTGGTCCAACATGTATCGGGTCAGACTGGAATGGTTTGTAATTGCTTCACAGCCTTCAATCTAGCGTTGAAAGCTGAGCTGGTAGTAATATAGACTGGCTTTGCACAGCGAGTGTAGTATTAGAGTTAAGAA